CGCTCGTTTTCTCAGACGCTTGCAGAAAAAGGCTTACCTAAACAAAGTTACTGGGTTAATCTTTTTCACGTTTCCTTGGTTGGTAGATGCACCGGGGACCTGATTATAGCACTTACAACCTGGAAAAGTCAGATTTTCATGATATGTCACCTTTAAGAGATCATGTGTGAACAGGACCTTTTCAAAAATCCCTGTAAATCGTCATATCGTTTTATGGAGATGACATGATTACTCTGAGCTGTTTACAAAGCTCCGCTGCGTTTTAATTAGTTATTCTATGTAAATATGCGCTAGATGGACATCTTTGACCATTGCGCCTCGCAGCTTTTTGTCGCGCTTCTCCATTCGTCAGGGCTGTGACCATTATGTGCGTCTCGTGTTTATAAGAGCAAAACATTCTGATTGGCTAGTAATGTTAGTTTGGTTGAGAGTGAAAGCTGTACTCCTCTCATACCATTGGTTGGCGAACTCATGGTCTCGAAAGTGATATCAATCAAGATTTTTTTTTTAAATGTAGGACTATTTTTTTTCCACAGTCAAACGCCCCACACCGGAGATCCGGCACGGTGCCAGAGAACTTTAAGCCCTGAATAATGTAAAATATGTGAACAATAATGTGTTTTTCGAACAACCTAGTATGAGAGCCTGCTCTAGTACACTCCCAAAACAAAATCAAGACTTTGTAAAAGATCATAATAGGACCCCTTTTAAGCTCCAGGGTCACATTTCAAACGTCCCATTACTACGAAACGACAGATAAACACTGTGAATGAACATACAGGATCAACACTGTTCAGATTCACGCATCCAAACGCACTCGTTCCGGATCCGACTAAGACGTCTTGTTCTGGCTGTTTCCGCTGGAGCCGTACTTGCCGTTCTTGGGGATCTTGTTGCTGGAGCTCTGCGGCGCTTTCTGCTCGTCTCCGGTCAGGAGGGCTTTGATTTCGGACGGGATCTTCCCCTGGTCCATGGCCAGACACCACTGCTTGTACTGCAGACACATGAACAGCATCAGCACGGCTGAGTAGATTAGGGTTGGGAATCGAAAATCGAATACCGATTCCAGAATCGGATACTTGTTGTCAAATTAAAATTTCGATTCCGCCTATCGATTCCAATGCGATTTTTTCTTCTTCTTCATCTGTGAGGACTGGAGCTAGCGATCTGCCAGGACCTTGCTCGCTAATCTAAGCGCTCCAAAGTGTGGCTACATTTGCGATCAGAAGCCAAAAAAGCTCAGTATAATATCTGTGATAGCTAAACATGTTGCAAGAGAGGCGTCACCACCAACATGACAAAGCACTTTAATTTAACAGATCGTTAAAGATTGCGAATACGATTCTATTCCTAGATTACAATGATTCGTCTGTTTCATTCCTCAAACTTTGACGTGTGCGATTGACATTGACCTAAAGAGAGCAGCGGTCTGTCATGAATGAAACAGCTTCACAGTCTCTTCAGCCACACAGTATCATTACATTACACTCACACAAGTGCTGGGATAAAAGTTTAAAGTTCGGATATAAACTCTGATGTGTACGGTAGCGATTAAAATAGAGTAAATCACCTTTTGAAAGTAATTTGACACGTCAAATGAAGATTTATCGATTACATTGTTACGCCAGTAGGTGGCGAAAAGGGGCTGTTAAAATGTATTTGTCTTTGAATCATACAAGAGATTCGTTCAAGAGCGCCGATTCATCCAGTAATGAATCAAGTACATCTTGAGTGAGTCATTGAATCATTCATTCATAAATTACATGCCTGTTGTAGCCTGTTGATTTTTGTTCATGGTATTCAGCGCCAATAAATGGTTTGCAAAAAAGAGACACAGGATAAATGTTTGATATCATTAGTTAATCACATTGGAATCAAAAAGAATCGGAATCGATAAGCAGAATCGGAATCGGAATCTGAATTGATAAAATGCAAACAATACCCGGGTACCGTTCACATTTTAACCGGTACGGTACTGGTAACGGTTCCTTTTTTCGGTACTTTACTCTCTGTGTAATTACAAAAACATTTATTTCAGTGAAAAA